AGGCCATTCACAACTTTTCTCTTCTGATTAAGGGCAGGAAGCTGAGTAGACTATCAAGTATTTTTTTTACTTATTTCTCATCCATTCAATAAGTATGAAGTGCTTACTCTCTGCTAAGTACTCTGTGTGGTATTAAGGGATAAAATGATGGCTGAGGTCTTAAAAACAACCCAAGGCTAATCAAGAAGTTAGAGGATAAGCGAACCATAGTAGAGACATTAGAAAGTGCTATAAGTACTATTAAAACTTGGGAAAGGAAGCAAATTAAAGCCAGCAGAAATGAAAATCTTAGAGACCAGAAAGATTGCTCAATGGTTAAGAGTGCCTGCTGCTCTTGCAGAGGACCAGAATTCAATTCTCAGCACCCACATCAAGCAGCTTATAATGGCCAATACTCTACCTCCAGGGGATCCAACAATGGCTTCTGGCCTCCAAAGAAACCTACATGCACACACGCATGCACATGCACAGACACAGACACAGACACACATACATACCCATAAATAAAAACAAAATAAATCTGTTTTTTTTTTCTTTCTTTTTCTTTTATTTATTTATTTATTTTTCAGATAGGGTCTCCCTGTAACCACAGCTGGTCTGGAACTTACTAGGTAGACCAGGTTGGCCTTGATCTCACAGAGATCCACCTGCCTTTGCTTCCTGAATGCTAAGATTAAAGGCATGTGCCACCACGCACAGCTGTTCTTTTTTCTTTCTCTTTTTTCTTTTTTGAGATAGAGTCTTGCTATGTATCCCTGGCTGGCCGTAACTCACAGAAATCCACCCACCTCTGCCTCCTGACTGCTGTAATTAAATAAAGGCTTGTATCACTACAACCAGAAAAAAAAAAAGAAATCTTAAAAAAGAGAAAGAAATTAAATTCAGGGTAGATGATGTTTAAGCCTAGAAGAAAACTTGGGAACTCATTAAACAGAACAAGGGAATAGGCTATTTGAAGAATATGTTGCATCAGTTATATATTTTAGAAAGTTTTCTGCATTTTATTTTTGGGACCCAGGCTTGGCCAGCATTATAATCCAGAGGGTCTCAGACTTTGTCTGTTCACAATGCACTTTGGGTTCCAGTGTTTCTATATTTGAAAGCTGTATTAGTCACTTTTCTATTGCTGTAATACAACACTATGATGAGAAACAATTTAAGAAAGAATGTTTATTTTTGTCTTACTGCTCCTGAGAGTGAGTACATAATGGTCAAGGAGGTGGGGTGCAGAGGTGGGGACAGGCATGGCAGCAGGCAGCTAGCTAGAAGAGGAAGATAACTCATATTTCTACACATATGTAGGCGGCAGTGAGGGTTTACTAGAAGTAGGGTAAGACTATATACTCTTAAAGTCTGCCCTTACTAACATACTTCCTCCAGCAAGGTTGCACATCCTTAAAGTTTCATACCCTCCCCAAACAGTGTCAACAACAGGGGACCACGTGTTCAATATGTGAGCACCACATTGTTGAAATCACCACATTCTACCCCCTGGTCCCCATAGGTTCATGGCCATATCATAATGCAACAATGCATTTAGTTCAATTTTAAACTTTTTTTTGAGCTAGGGTTTCATTATGTAGCCCTAGCTGGCCTAGAACTCACTAAGTAGACCAGATTGGCCTAGAGCTCATAGAGATCTGCCTACTCTGTCTCCCAAGTGCCGGGACTAAAGGCATGTGCCACCATGCAGGCCCTAGTTCAACTTTAAAAGTCACCATAGTGTTTAACAGTTTCAACACTGTTTAAAAGTCCAGAGTCTTTTTTGAGATGCAAGGCTATTTCTTCATCGTGACCCCCCCCCAAATTAAAAAAATAAAAACCAAATTGTGTGCTTCCAATATATAATAGCAAAGAATATACATTCCCATCAAGAACGGGAGGAATGGGGCTATAGTAAGGAAATACTGGACCAAAGCTAGACTGAAACTCAGCAGGGTGAATATCAAAACCTACAGCTCTGAGTCTGGGGTCTGGGGCTTTAGTTTTAAGGGGTTTAGATGGCTCTACCCCTCCAGATTTGTTGCCTACAACATATATCTCTCTCTTGGACTGGTTCCACTGTCTGTGGAGCTCTACTTGGCCAATGCCTCTTAGCTATGGCATTCCAACATCTTGAGGTCCCCACTACAATCCAGGCTTCATTTTCACAGCTTCATGCAGTGGTTTCTCACAGCCTCACAGGGACTCACCTACTGCCTAGCCTCAGCAGCTTACCAAAACTGCTGATGGAAAAATCTATGAGCCCCTCGCTCTTGCTTCATGCCTCCAAACTGAGTACCACATGGACAATACTGCCAAGTTTGGCTGCCAGCTTGGGCTGGACCCTTACCCTCTTGCATTACATTTGTAGAAACTTTCACATGTTGAAATAATTGCTTTCTAGGAACAGAAAATTCCTTAAGCTTTCTCCTTTCACAACTTGAAAGCTTAGTTGGGTGAGGTCTTGCCCTGAGGTCACCCTTCCCATTGTCCCAGGGCAGAGCAGAAGGCCTTTTTTTAATGGCACTAATCTCCTTAATAACCACAGCCTCTCTTTTAGTACATGCTTTGGCTGTAACATTGCTTCCTAATGCTCCTTATCTCTCCGATCTGTGCATTCTGTTATTTCTTTCTGCCCCATTTGCTCATTTTCATTGTGGACCTATATGAGTTATGAGTAATAACTACACCACTGACTCAACATTTTGCTGTCTTGAAATTTCCTCTGCTAAAAAAAATTAGTTTATTGTTTTTTAATTTAGCCTTACATAAATACTCACGGCATGGGCAGAAAACAGCCAGATTCTTTGCCAAAATATCACTCAAATGGCCTCTAGTTCAGTTATTTATAGAGACCTTGTTTCCCTCTGAAACGTCATGAACAAGGCTTTCACAATCCAAATTCTTCTCAAGCACTACTGTCTTCCAGGCTCCCATAGAATTGCCTGCTAAGCTCTGCTTACAGCATTCAACTTCTTTTCTAGTTCAAAGTTCCAGTCTTCCACATTCCCAACAAAACAAAACAAAACAAAAACCACACAAAACAAAAAATCCAACATGGTCAGGTTCTTCACAGCAACATCCCACAACTTCATTTTTTAAAGTTTTATGCATTTTACTTTTGGGAACCAGCTTCAGCCAGCATTGTAACACAGAGGTTTCCAAAATTTGTTCAGTGCCCTTTGGGTTTCAGTATTTCCATACTCAGAAGCCAAAAGAAACACCTGACAGTTAAGAGTGCTAAGTAGGTGGATTCAAATAGCCGCTAAGTACTTGATGGCACAATTTAGTAAATTTTTGGAAAGAATAATGCACCTATTTTGTAAGAAAATAACTTTTATTTTCTTTCAAAAACCTTTATTTTTAATTGTGCATGTGTGTGCATGCATGTGTATATGTACACCTGTGTGTGCGTGCCCCTAAGGAGACCAGAAGAGTGTATCAGATCTGGAGCTAGAATCGCTGGCAGTGTCTGATGTGGATGCTAGGAACTGAACTTGGGTCCTCTGCAAAAGCAGCATGTGTTTTTAACCTGCTCAACCATCTCTCCAGCCCTTGCTTTGTTTTATTTAATTAAAATTACTCACTACACATGTATGTACTTGCTGAACATTGTACAACTTCCCTAACCTTGATTCAGGTGAGACATTGCTACCCTCATTCCTGTTTCATATTATTTTTCCATATAGTACTTTTTTTTAAAAAAAATCACACAACAATCAACAAACAAACTTTGAAAAGATATAATGTCATCAAATGTGATATGTGCACCTGATACTGAGGCTGAGGCCTATGTCAAGTTCAGGTTGCATCTAATAGGTTCCAATTACTCTTTTCCTTAATTTAAAATCTCACAGGATCCTTTTGAGATATTTGTGGAATGCTAGACTGCCTTGGTGCACAATTTGGGAACTTGAACTTTAATGATTTAACACCCTTGTCTAAGTTGAAAAAGAAGAAAGTAGGTTAACAAACGACAGTGAGAAAATAAAACAGGATTACGGTAGCTAAGTAGTGATTATTTGATGTTTTTAAGAATTATAGGTTCCTGGAGCTGGAGAATTGATTCAGTGGTTAAGAGCGCTGGATGCTCTTGTAGGGGACCCAGGTTTGGTTACCAGCACCCACATGGTGGCTAACATTCATTCTTAACTCTGGTTCCAGGGCATTTGGCACCTTCTTCTGGCCTCTGCAGTCATTAGACATGCATAGTGTTCTTACATGCATTGCTGGCAAAACACTCATACACATAAAATAAAAATAAATAGTAAAAGAATCATGGGTTGCTGATAGTTGGGCACAGGTATGATCATTTCTATATTTTTCATTTTCTTTTCATGTATATGTATATGCATGTTTCCATATGTACAGATACTTGTACACTTGTATGTGTGTGTGTAGCTGTATGCTGTGTATGTGTGTATGTGTGTATGAAGGCCTGAGGTTGATGCCATGAATCTTCCTCAGTGGCTCTTTCATCTTGTTCATTGAGGCAGCGTCTCTCAAACTCAGAACTCTCCAATATGGCTAGTCGCTAGTCTTGCTAGCCAACTTGTTCTGAGAATACTCTATCTCTGCCTTCTGGGGCTGAATTACAGCAGGCCTCCATGCCCATCCAGTCTTTATATGGGTTCTAGGGATATAAACCCCGGTCATCTTGCTTGCATGGAAAGAACTTTAACCCTGAGCCATCTCCCCAGCCACCCCTTCCCCCATTTCTACATTTAAAAAATACTTTATTATTTTTATTTTTTTATGTGTATTATTTATTGCCTGCATGTATGTGAGTGCACCTGTGTTTTACAGTGCCACAGAGATCAGAAGAGGGCTTCAGATTTCTCTGGAGCTGGAGTTAAGGACACCATGTGGGTGCCGGGAATTGAACCCGGGTCCTCTGCAAGAGCAGTCAGAGCTCTTAACTGCTGAGCCATCTCTCCAGCCCTCATTTCTACATTTTAAATGTGATATGGCTTTTGCTGTTTTAAAATGGCCATTTAGAGTGTAATCATTTTTAACAGATGGATGAATTGCATATATCTATGATCCAGTGGATAGTAAATTTGCTGATCATAATGATTCCTGACTTTACTCACCAAGACACTCTCCCAAAAGACACTCTCCCAAAGCCGAAGGAGGAAGATACAGAGAACTCTGAGGAAGGCGCTGAAAATGCTGATGACCACGAACTAGGAATTGCAGAATTAGAGCTAAATGCAGTCTCGCTGGCCAAAAGGCTGGCCCAGTACACCAGCTATTTGAACAGGTGACACCCTTTGGTTGCTGCATGCATTGCTGCCCATTTGAACATTACTGTACATAAGGCAGAACAGACAGTGAAAAAGCAGGAACAGGGATTATTTTAAAACTGTGAAAGAAACTCTAGACTGAGGCAGGAGAGTTGTGAGTCAAGGCCAAGTTGGCTACAGAGTGAAACCCTGTCCCAGGAAAAGAAAGAAAATACTGGTTTAGATTTTTTGACTTGCTTCAACACTGCCCAGTTGGAATATGGGGTTTGGGTGGGCTTTCAATAGCCTTAGAATTCCTTTGGAAAACGTTTTAGCAGAGGAAAGACTGAAGGCGTGTGTGTATGTGTGTGTGTGTGTGTGTGTGTGTGTGTGTGTGTGTAGAGGGGAGTGTTAGGTTTTGTTTTTTGGGTTTTTTTTTTTTGGTCTTTTTGAGACAGGGTCTCCCTGTAGCTCCAGCTGTCCTGGAACTCACTATGTAGACCAGGCTGGCCTTGAACTCACAGAGATTCACCTGCCTCTGCCTCCCGAGTGCTGGGATCAAAGGCATGTGCCACCACACCCGGCAGGGTTTTATTTTAAAATATTAGCTTCCTTGCATGAATAAGATGCATCTTGTACTATTATACACACAGGGGAGCACTTAAGATAGTTTTGGGCTGGGAGATGCTCAGTGGGTAACATATTTTCTGTAAAAGCATGAAGGCCTGAGTTTAGATCTTAGTACCCACTCGAAAAAACAGGTATAGTGGCACACACCTGTAACCCCAGTGCAGGAGAGTGGGGGAGAGAAACAGGCAGATCCTTGGAGCTTGCTGGCTAGCCAGACTAGACAAAGCAGTCAGCTCTGAGTTCAGTGAGAGACTCTGTCTCAGAGAATAGGTAGAACATGATAGTAGAAGACATCCAACATTAATCTGACTTCTGTGCATATACATGTACATGCACATGTATGTGCACATGTGTGTGCACAGAAGAAATGAGACAAAAGTAAAGATGCCTGTAGTCTTCTAATTTCATATCAAGTTGAATGTATACTTTTGTGTGCTTCACTAAATACCAAGCAAAATATCTCTTGTAAAACAGCACTTGGGAGATAGGCAGGAGGAACTCTGTAAGATGGAGGCCAGCTTGGTCTACATAGTAAATTCCAGGCCAGCTGGGGCTATGGAGAGACTGTGTCTCAAAAAGACCAGAGAGAGAGAGAGAGAGAGAGAGAGAGAGAGAGAGAAGAGAGAGAGAGAGAGAGAGAGAGAGAGAGAGAGAGAGAGAGACAGAGACAGAGACAGAGAAAACTAGGAATAGTCAACTTTTCATTACTACAATGAAATACCTAAGATAATTACCTTCTAAAGAAAAAAGCGGTGTTTTGGCTCACAGTTTCCCAGTCCATGATCATTTGGCCCTGTACTTTGGACCTGTGGCCAGGCAGCACATCCTTACTGCAGGAGTGCCTGAGGGAACAACCTCCTCACTTCACAGTAAGAAAGAAAGGAGAAAGCAGATGGGACTGGGATTCCCACAGTCCCCTCCAAGGATACACTGCCAGTAACCTAAAGACCTAAAGACCTCCACTAGGTCAACCTCCTAAAGGTTTCCCCACTTCCCAACAGTGCCAACTTGGCAGAGGAAGAACAAGCCTGTGGCATGTGATGCTTTGGGGTGTCATTCAGTTAATTAATAGTACAAAATATAATTCTCTCTCTCTCTCTCTCTCTCTCCACACACACACACACACCCCACCCCTCAGTTGCTGCATAGGGATGGTAAGAGCATTGGCTTTGACTAAAACAACTCACTTACAAAAAAACCCTGCTAAGGACCTTCAGGACCTGGAGAGGTTGAAGGTAAGAATTCTTTCTCTTAGTTTTGTTTTTAGCAGATTATTCAGGTCTAATTTATTCAAAACAAATTTTACATATTTAAAATATATAATTTTGTAAGTTCTAAAATATTCATAATAGCCCTTAAAGCAATCATTATAATAAAAATGGTGAAAGTGCCCAACACAAAAGTTTTTGTACCCCTAACTTCTGCTGTCTCATTTTATCCCCAGGAAATATTTGATCCAGTTTCTCACACCATAGATTGTTTTCCATTTTCTAGAATTTATACAAATGAAGTAATATGTTAGGGTATTTTTTGGTCTGACTTTAAGATTTACTTTTATTACTTATTGATGTTACTGTGCATGTGTCTTTGTGTATGTGTATGTGCATGTGGGTACCAGCAGAGGCCAGAAGAGGAAGTTGGATACTCTGGAGCTGGAGTTACAGGTGGTTGTGAGCTGCCTGATGCTGGGAACCAAACCTGGTTCTCTGCAAGAGCAGTAAGTGCTTTTAACTGCTGAACCATCTCTCCAGTCCCTGGCCTGACTTTAAAATAAGTGTAATTATTCTTACACTCGCTAATACTGCTGCTTTTATCGGAGTTCGTGCTTTTTAGTGCTGAGTAGCTGTGTTATCACTTGTCCTAACTGGGATAAAATACCTGATGAAACCATCTGAAAGAGAAAGATTGGGGCTCATGGTTTCAGAATTTCAGTCAATGTTTGGCTGGCTCCATTGCTTTGACCTGCATTGAGGCAGAGCTCTGTGGAAGAGGGGCTCAGAGCTGCTCACCTCATGGCAACTGGGAAGCAGAAAGAGACATGAAGGAGCTAGGGACAAAGAAGGAAGTTCTTCCTTTTGATGATAATCTACCTTTTTTTTTTTTGGATATTGCTTTTGTTATTATTTCAAAGGGAAATTTTTGCCTAAGAACATCACAAAGGTTTTCTCCTAGATATTATATAGTTTTAGGCTCAATACTTAGATTTAGGATCCACTTTGACTTAATTTTTAAAAAAAATCTGTGTTGCCAGGTATGGCGATTAAAGTTCCTTTTCACCACTTCACTTGCATATCTAATGATTGTGATACCATTTGTTAAAAAGACTGCCATTTCTCTACCAAGAGACCTTTTCTTCTTCATTGAAAATCTATTGAGCATACATGTGTGGGTGCTATAACCTACATTCAATTGTATTCTGATAATCTATTTGTCAACATTATTACTGTCATCAGACTCTCTTGATTATTATACTTTTTAAAGTTTTGAAATCGCATAGAAAAAATATTCAAAATTAATTTTTTCCAAGTTTGATTAGGATATTCTATGTCTTTCACTTTCCATATGAACTTCATTAGCTTATCAGTTTCTCCAAAAAGTCTGCTGAAATTTTGATTGGGATTGTATTTTAACTATTGATCAGTGTGTGCGAATTGACACCCTAATCACATTGTGCCTTTGGATCTGTGAATACAGTGTATGCCTTCATTTGTTTTTTGTATTTCATTGAAGTTTATGGTTTTCAGTATAGAGTTATTATTTTTGTCAGATTTGTCCTGAAGTATTTTATTTTGGTGCTACTTGAGTATCTCATGTTGAGAATCAAATGAGTTGATATGCACCCAATACTTAGAAAAGAGTTTGGTGTACAAGTAAAAGCCACGTAAATGTTTGTTATTTTATTGTTCTTAGCATGCAATTATATTGACCTGGTCAGTTGCATAAAATTTATTAGGACAGATCATTTAAGTGTTCGTAAACCCATCAATCTTTTTGCATTTCATTTTATGATACCTGACCACACTTTATCCCATTGCAACTCAGATCACAAACACTTAATGAAAGATAATACGAAATTTAGGTCTGTGTTCATAAGACACTTCTGCACAAGTCTTTGAACTAATTGAACTAATTGAAAGGAATTATATTTAAAGGAATTGTGCTTAGCAATTCAATAGGAGTAAGTCAGTGAATGAGTTGGTGTAATTTGCTTTTTTCCTGCATAGTAATGATCCTGTGTCTCTTCCCAGAGAGAATGTTATGATTGGATCAACACATGTTCTCATCTCCTTTCTAACATCAAAAGCAGAAAAATAGGATTACTGACATACGAGGAAGTGGAGCAGCTGCTTGGGGAGGAGGTATTTACTGAAAGTGGGCATTATTTGTTTAGTAAGGAAATGAGTAGATTTGTCCTTATTAAGGCCGTTATTCAGGTTCTTTCTGCGTTCAGTAGGTAAGTTTCAGCATCTTTTTGCAATAGATGTTCCGAATCCTCAACATACACTCTATTAGCAGAGAATTTGGGTTCTGACTTAGAACATTGGCAGCTCTCCTTCTTTCTAGAGAAGAAAATGCTCCGCTCAAACATCTTTTAAATTTTTTTAAGATTTATTTTTATTTACATGTGTGTCTCTCACGTGTGCAGGTGCCCAAGAAGGTCAGTATCAGACCCCTGGAGGTGGAGTTACAGGTGGTTGTGAACTGCCAGACATGGGTGCTGGGAACCAAACCTAGGTGTTCTGTGAGAGCATAGAGCTCTCTGAACCACTGAACTATCTTCCCAGCTCCCACCCATCTTCCCCTGTTTTGTCAGCAAATATTTTTATATCTACTCATAAGGCAAAATGGCTGTCAGCTGGAGTTCCTGGCTGCTTCCTCAGTCTTTGTTGCTCTACACACACCTCTCCTCCTTCCAGCCACTGGGGCCATTTCTCCTTTCGAGTATGTCATCTTTGGAATGTCCTCTCTTATATATCTTTAACATCATCCAAGTAGAGGGACTCTAACCAATCCGTCTAACCAATCTATAAAACAGTCTATAAACGTGGTAAATTTTTACATTCTCAAAAAAATGTCCTTTGATTTTTGCCTCATTTCTCTTACCCCTTCCATGACAATAATTTTTTAAAGCAATTTCCCTTTCTTTTTTTTATTTTATGTGTCTGAGTATATTACCTGCATGTGTGTAAATGCACCTGTGTCATGCAATGCTGGAGGAGGTCAGAAGACGGCATCGGATCCCCTGGAACTAGAGTTACAGACGGTTGTTAGCTGCCATGTGGGTGCTTGGAACCAAATCCTGGTCGCCTACAAGAGTAGCCAGTGCTCTTAGCCACTGAGCCATCTCTCCATCTCCAGCCCCACAACCTTTTTATTTTATTTTTATTGGTGCCTGTCATAACCCAAGCATTGAGCAAGCACTGAGTTACACTTGTGGCCCAAAACTGGTTTTGTGAAAACTAAAATGTCTGTGAGGTCATCAGTGACTCTTTATTACCTGCTCTAGAATCTCCAGACCCATGATGAATCTGGCTCTCTTGTCGGATTTGGCTCTGCTAACTATCCATTCCTTTTGTAAATTCTCTTTAGAAGACGAGAATTCCCTTGGTTTTCTCTTCTTCAGGTCTCTTTATCCTCCTCCTTTTACTCTTCTGCCTCTCCTGCCCTTGTGTTGATTCCCCATCCTTAGGATGCACTCACTACCCATTCTACCTCCCTACCTGGTACTGCAGTCATTTGTTTTTTAAAATTTGTTTGTTTCTAGACAGGGTCTCATGTAGCCTGGGCTGACCTGAACTCTTTGATATAGGGTCTCAACCCCGTGTCCCAGGCTGATCTTGGCCTTGAACTCATGACAGTTCTCTTACATCAGCATTCTAAGTGATGTGTGACCACCTCACCTGGCTAATCCTATGTGTTTTAACTACCACCTGCTTACCAAGGATCCCAAATTAAGGAATACAGAGAGGCCTTCAGTCTCTTTGTGGGCATTCACCTCCAGGAAATTCTGAAGAGATTTCTGTTGCTGTGAAAGCCATGTCCCACGAGTATGGCCTGACGCCTCACATATTAACGCTCCTGGCCCTGAGAAGGAAGGAGCTTCTATGTACACATTTGTAGGAAAACTAGACTTCTTCAAAAAAGTCTTTATTCTTCTGTGTTGCCCAGAACTTAGTCAGAATTATTTTTGCATTAACCACTGAAAGATTTCACTGAAATCATAAATCTTAAATTGCAGTATAATTTTAGAAATTTGCTGAAGTAACAGACATGATCTTGGTTGCACATCAAATCTAGGGGAAAAATTAAAATATACAGAATCAGCTGGGCATACTGGCAAACATCTGTAATCCTAGCACTCAGGAGGTAAAGGAATGGTGATTAAGAGGTCAAGGTCATCTTTGACTACACAGCAAGTTCTAGGCCAAACTGGTCTACAAGAGACACTGTGTCAAACAAACATTAAAGGAATAGGTAAATTAATACATTTAAAAGTATACATAATCATAGAGACTTGTGACTAGAAGGGATTTTAAAGGTGATTAGTCCAACCTTACATGAATCTCATTCATGAATATTTTTTTTTCTGCCCTAGCCCAAGCTGGCCTGGAACATTCTATGAAGACCAAGCTGACATTGATCTCACAGAAATCCCCCTGCCTCTACCTCTGTCTTCTGAGTGCTGGGATTAAAAGCATGTACTACCATGCCTGGCTTGTTTCATGAATCTTAAGGTAACATCCATACTTGATCACTGTGCCTAAGTTTGAATGTCTGAATTGATAGAGAGCTATTTTTTGACATAGTTCATATGGTTTTGATGAGCATATGGAACAGTATTCTTGCTATTGAACTGAATATACTATGTCACCTTGTATCTTTTTCTACCATCTGGTTTTACTTCAATCTTTTCTCTTTTTGCCCTAATTCAGTATTTGGGGTTAATGTTTTTCACATTATAATATTTCTAACACTTGATTATATTCAACCAAAGTCTGTTTTTGAATTTTCTATTCTTTTCCACTGGTCTGTCTGTTTATGGATCATTACCACAATAGTTTATTAAGACTTTATTTTACATTTTAATATGTGGTAGGACTAACCCTTCACATTGATGTTTTCCAGGCATTCCATCACTATTATTATTTACTCTTCTATATAATTTTATAATCTAGCTCTAAAAAATTGATTTTAAAAAATCGGGATAATATTAAATTTGTATGTTAACTTAGAAGAGATAAGTTTTTGATGTTGAATTGTCCATTCCAAGAACATGAGACATAACATGTCTGTTTTATGGTTGTAAATACTGTTAAATAATTTGCTCATCTTGCATATTTTAAAATAATATTTTTAATGTTCTTTGAGAACTTCATATATTTCATATAGTTTTATCATATTCAGACCTCCTCCCCCATCTCCTCTCAGCTTCACCCCGATCTCCCTGTCCACCCTTTCTCCATGTTAATGTTATTTATTAGTTTTTTTTTCAGGTGAGGAGAGGAAGCTTAATAATTTTACACTATTAGGACTGACCCAAAGAGTCAGGCCCCTTGTTCAAGTTTTGAAGGGTTTTTATACTCGTGTGGGGAAATGCCTAAAAAGAGGGAAATGAGTCTTGCTGAAAAAATATCTATAAATTTTTAAAGGCCTATTGAGTCTAATTTGTGTTCCCTGCATGCTCTTGGATATGGGTCTGTCCCCTGGAGTGTGGTCAGCCTACCTAGCATCATACCCTTAAAGAAAACTATCCAACTCCCATAAGCTATTAATTGCCAATAGTTCCTTAACTAGGGCTGACTGGGGCTTCTTGCCTACCTCTAGGCTCCATACTCGATTTTGATTGAGTTGGCCTTGCACATGCTGTACCAAGCACTGTGGGTTCATGTGTGCAACTGTTCAGTTGTGTTCAGAAAACACTGTTTCCTTGTATTCATCCACCACCTCTGGCTCTTACAATCCTTCCACCCCCTCTTCTGCAGTGGTCCCTGAGCCTTGGGAGGGAAGGGTATGATACAGGTTCATCATATTTAGTAATGAACATTCTGCAGTCTCTTATTCTCTGAACCGTGACCAGTTGTGGGTCTCTGTATTAATCATCTGCTGCTGGAAGAAGCTTCTCTGGTGAGAGTAGAGAGATACACTAATCTATGGTTATAAAAATAACTCATTAGGAGTCAGTTTAATACTATGTCCATTCATCAGAATAATAGTAATAGGTTCTCCCCTATGGCCTATGACCTGTCTAGCCATAGGTTCTTGGTTCCACTACTAGTGCCAGGTATGGATTCCATCTTGTGAAGGTCTTAAATCCAATCAGAAAGTGGTTGGATACTCCCATAACATTCATGTCACTATTGCACCAGTGAGTATGTCTTGCCAGGTTAGACATTATTGTAACTCACAGGTAATTCACAGCTGGATAAAGCTGATGATTACTTTTCTCTCGCAGTAACATGCATAGCACCTTCGAGTACTATGAAAGCTAACCAGTAGAGATGAAACTTCAAGGTCAGTTACCAGCTTGACTTTTCCACGTTTTTTTTCACAACTCACATATTTAGTGTCTTCAGTAATAGAGTCTTATCTTCAGGTTCTGAAGGTAACCAAGAGCAATGGGAATTGCACATTTCTTGTTAGGTTTCTATATGAGTGTTTTATTTTACTAGTTAAATGTGATATTTTTTTCATTGTACTTTCTAACTTTTCATTGTATATGTTACTGACTTGCATTTTAACTTTATATGCTATGTGTCATTACTAAATCATCTTGCTATCTTTAGTCTTTTTCATTGATTCTTTTAACTATCCAGCTATTTAATGACATATCTACAAAAGAGATAGTTTCATGTTTTCCGTCAGTTATGATAATCTCTACTTGCTTTTTCTTGTTGAATTGTATTGAATAATTCTTCAATTTAATATTAAATAGTGGAGGTAGCATGCTTTTCTTGTTTCTGACTTCAGTGGGAATGCCTTTAATGATTTACCCTTAAGAAATATGTGGGGGAAAAAAACTAAAATGAAAATTTAATTTTACTATTTTTTGAGACAGGGTCTCCCTGTAGCCCCAGCTGGCCTGGACCTCACTCTGTATACCAGGCTGACCTTGAACTCATAGAGATTTGCCTGCCTTTGCATTGTGAGTACTAGGATTAAAGGCGTGTGCCACCACACCCAGCAAAATAATTTTAAAATTAATAATTTTAAAAAATTTAAAAATAAGAAATTTTAAAAAAATCAAAAACAAAGGAAATATGCTGGCATGGAGTTGACCCATCATTTAAATTCTTTATTGTCCTTCAGAAATCTCATCCCTTCCATGTGGAGACACTTGCCTTCTGCCTTAGCCTGAGGAATTTTATTTACTGGGGATCTGTAGACTGGAAGCAAACTAAGTTTTTATTTGTCAGAAATGCCTTTATTTCAACTTCATTCTTCAAAATTTTTTGCTGAATTGCTGGGCATGGTGGTGCACACCTTTAATCCTAACACTCAGGAGGCAGAGGCAGGCAGATCTCTGCAAGTTCAAGGCCACACATAGTGAGTTCTAGGCCAGACAAGGCTACATAGTGAGACTGTTGCAAAAAAAAATTAGTTTTTAATTTAAAAAAACTTTTCTAGGCATATAATTAACTCCATAGTGATATTTTCCTTAGTACAGTGACAATATTATTTTTGCTGATTTCTATATATTATTGTTAGAAAACTAACAATGAAGAGCTCAGTTGTCAGTTCCTTTGAAGATAAGCTATCTCTTTTCTCTGACTGCTTTTAGGTCTTCCTCTTTGTCTTTGGCATTCTGCAGCCTCACTCTGGTATGTAGGGACATTTTTTCAGTATTTGAATAGCTCCTTTCAGACCTTCAACACTCTTGACCCCCTTTTCTTCTGGCTCTCTTGGTGGCCCTTTTACACTTCCAAGGCTACTTTTGGAATCTGCTGCAGGTTCCTTTTCTTTCCTACTGCTTAATGTAACTAGTTTCCTGCCTTAAGTCCTTATACTGTTTCACAAGTTCCACATGAAAATGTCATTTACTTTCTTGGCTCTAACTAATGTATTTAACTGTCAAATCTTTAGCCTAAATCCTGCCTTCTAGACTTCAGATCTATATATTTACACTTAGCAATCTCAGAGGTACCTTGAACTCACACAACCTGATGAAAACTCATCGCTCTTCCAAAACCTGCCTGTTTACCTTTGTTCATTTTCTCAGTGAATGACATCTCCACCTATCTAGTGGCATAAACCATCAACCATATGTCACTGAGATGCACCTTTCCCCTAACCATCTCATGCTCATGTGGGCATCACTAAGAACCACTTCTTAAATATCTCTTGAGTCATCAGTGAGTCCTATAAACACTGCATCATCCATTCTCCCCTGTCTCTTTTGTCCTTACTCTCTGTTCCTCTCTTCCTTTTCTCCTTTATTCTTTAATCTAGTTTCCTATCACCAGATGGTTGTTTTAACATGTAAAGCAGATCAATAATTTTTTTTTGCCCCATCATTGCCTTCAGGATAAAATCCAATCTCCTTGTCATGACAGTCTAGCCCTGTTCTACGATGGTGTCTCTGGGTTCATTTGCCTCAGAGGTTCTGTCCTATTAAACTACTTTTCTTCTTGGAACCAATCATACACATGTAACTGCCTCTGTCTAAAACTACTTTGTGCCTTCTTTTTAATTGAATTTTTGTGTATTTCATACAGAACATCTCAATCAATCTTAATCATCTTTATACTCCCTTCCCCACTGATACCCTCCTATAGCCCTCCCACTGGAATTGGTATATTCTGTCATTTGTGTTAAGGCCTATTGTGTCAAGTTAGTGTCCCCAGCTGTCCTTCAGTGCAAGTTCATCTACTGAGGTCTAGTCAGTCTATCTAGAGTCTCTTGCTTTAGGAAGATCAGCTCTTCCTCACCCAGCAGTAATCAGTTGCCAACATTTCTTAAGCTAAGATTGGGGTCAACTGTCCATTTCCCCAGTTCTATGCTGGGGTTTTGTCTGCTTGAGTTTGCATGAGTCTTGTGCCATGTTGACACCATTGCTGTAGGTTCATATGAGTAAGGTCCCAGGAGCTTGTAGGACTCTATTTACATATGATCATGCACCTCCTCCCTGGCTCTTACAATCTTTCTGCCCCCTCTTCTGCAACGGTCCCTGAGCCGTGGGTGGGTGAAGTTTAATATAGGAGCCCTGTCCAAGGACCAGCATTCTGCAGACTCTTTAAGTCTCTACACTCTGGCCATTTGTGACCTTTTGTGTGCCTGGCCCTCTGTTGCATGAGGGAGCTTCATTAATGAGAACTGAGATATTCATTATTATCTTATTTACCCCTTGATCTATGTTCCGTGAGCCTTAGATGTAGAGGTTGTATTGTAGATGTTCCGTTAGACTTGAGCAATTCACAGACAATATCTGTGTATGACCAGTTGTGGTACTCTGTAATAGTCTCTGTCGCAAAAGAAGCTGCTTTGATGAGTGGTGAGTGGAATATTTGTCTATAAATACAAGGATACATATTTTGCACATAGTAAGAAATTACATTAATCTAGGGATATGACAGTTTTGGGGTTTTCTCTAAGGCCTATGACTATGGATCTATGATCTCTAGCCATATGTATTTGATTATTTTTATAGTACTACACTTGAGTTTCCTCCCATTGAGTGGGCTTTTAGCACAATTAGGTAGCTGTTGATTGCCCCAACATAAAAGTGCCACTGCTGCACCAATGTAGTATGCTGTGCTGGCCATCGATGTGGTTATTTGGTCTTGAAGCTGGCTAAAACTCCTTTGTGCCTTCTTTTTCTTCTTTCGTTTCTTCATTCTGTAAGTAACAAAACAAAACAAGTCTCTGATATTCTTGCCCCCAGGAAACCTTCCTGACTAGCTTCCTTTCACCCCTGTCCACTACGTACTCTAGGGTGGGTGCTCCTACTTCATGAGTAATAAGCACATCTATGACAGTTTGTCATCTACAAAATGGCAAGCTTTTCAAGGGCAGAAACCACTCTCAATACTGTTTGTTTCTTATCAATAGCAGAATACTCAGTTGTAAGAATAGTGTTCATTTACTATGCTTGAAAAAATGGATCCTATTTATATATAGTAAATTACAATTATAATACTGTTATATTGCACAGGAAGCTGCAAAAGTCTATCATGATCCCGAAAAGCCTTTTATAGAGGATACTGACAAAGAAGATATTGAGATTGAGAAGCTTGAGAAGAAAAAGGAAGAAGAGGAATCACAACAGGTAAGATCATTTTCTGGGCATAGTGATGGGTACCTATAATCCCACCTACTTGGGAAGCAGAAAGAGAAGAATCACTTGAGCCTAGGAGTTCAGGACTATGCCTAGAAGTACAAGACTTCACAGCACAATGAGACCATGTATCTAAAGAAAAACAAGAACAAAAATGATGCATGGCTATTGAGCATTAGTTTCTCCTATCTCTTTATCTTTTTGAAGAATAGAGAGATAAATAGGTGAAGGTGGAAGGCAGTCTCCTGGAGTGAATCTACCCACCTCCTCCCTTTTCCCATCCACATTTAGCCACACATGCAAGTAAAACAGTCCTTATCACTTTTATTTTTTTCTAAATCTAAAGATTTCCCATTAGCATTACTCATTTACCTGCCCTATTAACAACACAACCCACCTCACATCCTGCTGGTGTTTCTTTCTCCCTTCATTGCTAGATTTTTCAAATACAAGTTTAGCCTCTGCTTCAGTGCCCATTGTTGAGCTGCCCTTTTCCCTTCCTCCCACCTAGTCTCATACATATGTCTTCTCCTCTTACCTGTCTCCACCACTTCTGAGGAATTTGTAGCAGGAAAAACCTTTCCTGGACATTTATAGTAATGACAATGAAAATAATAATGATGATAATGCAATGATAGCTGCCAATAATGGAATGCATATTTTGAGTTCTATGCTCTGCATATTCATATACCAACTTCAAGGTATATATTAGCACATTTTTACTTATTTATTTATTTTTTACATGTATGAGTGTTTTGCCTGCATGTATGTAAGTGCATCCATGTGTGCAGTGCCTATGGAGGTCAGAAGAGGGTGTTGGATCCCCTGAAACTGTAATTATAGATGGTTGTTAGCTGCCATATAGCTGCCATATAGGAAACTGAACCTGGATCCCCTGCAAGAGCAGCCAGTGCTCTTAACCACTCTCCAGTCCCTCCCTATATTAGCTCATTTTACGGAAGGAGAGTTAACAGAAAGGTTGACTGACTGACTTAAAATCCTATCGTTTCAAATGGCAGGATCAGCATTCAAACCCAGATGACTGTGGCAGAAGAGCCCTTGCAGATTCCTAGATTGACTGCTACTGTCTTTTTCTTAGAATTCATGCTTGCCAAATACTCTCCACATGTCTTGATGTTCTTCTCTGATGTTTCTTCTCTGCATATGCTTTAAATGTTGCCATGGCATCTGGGGAGATGGCTCAGCCAGTAAAGCCACTTTCCATGCAAGCCTGGCAACCTGGATTCCATCCCCAGAACCCAAGTAAAGGTTGAAAGAAAGCTGACTCCACAAAGTTGTCCTCTGACCTTCACATGTGTATTGCACACACACACTAATCATCATCATCATCATCATCATCATCATCATCATCATCATCATCAAAGTTTAAAAATACTTTAAACATGTTGCTATGGCCCCAGGCTCTAGTCTAGGTCTTCTATTCATGGCAGGGGGACAGAACAAAATTATGTACAACACCCAACCCTCTTTTTGCCAGCATTTTCTGTTTTATTTCTGATAAAATGCTTCATATATAGAAGACCATTTACTTACAGAATTAATTAAAACTGTCATCATCATTGGACTTACTTCAGGCCCCTTTTTCTCTATTTTACAAGTATGTGTTTAATCTTTAAATATCACCTGCCTTGTGAGCCTTGTGAACCCTTCCTGAATTTCTAGGAAAAATTCAGGGAACCTTTCTTGTACATGCAGCCCCTGAGCACACCCCTCTGTTCATGTCTGCTGAATGATTAAGGCAAGTGGAAAGTTAAAGCTTCAGACATGGCTCTAGGTGGCTTGACATGCCACTGTGTCACCAAGGCTAACAGGTCCTTGGTTTTTCTGTGCTCTAGGAACCTTCAACATCTACAGACAGTGAAAAAGTTGTTTGGTACATCGGGAAAGATGAAAATATTCATTCCAAGCCTCTGTTTGAAGTAGATATATTTTCTTCCTGGGTATGTATCTAAAACTAACTAGAATCTAAAACTAGGTAACACTGTGTAAAACCTATATGGGCCTAAGATAGCTTGGGGTTCCTTAAAGATAACCAGAGGCTTCCTAGCTAATGTGTTTTACAGATGCTTTTTTTTTTTTCCTTTTAGCATGATCCTTAGAAGACTCTTGTGTTTTTCTCCTTGGCTTTACAAATACCTCTCATTCTCTTCTCTGTGCCTCATCTTAATATCAGAATTCCATCCCTTTCTTTAGTTTAATAATCTCTTGGTCACTATTTGACCACGTTTTCAATGAGTCTGTTCAGCAGGCTTCATTGAGAGCTATGAAAAGCACATACCTCCACTGCAAGGATTGTTGAGAAGTTGGGAACATAGAGATAGTGGCTGTGGAAAAGCATCAGACCTTAGACTTTAGAGGAGGTTTGCAGTGAGTATATCCAGGGACATCATGGGCCATACAATCCAACCATAATAGGAAGAACCAGGATAAACCATGGTGGGCACAGTTGGGGTTAGGGTAGCCCAAGAAGTTGCAAGCACATTTTCCCAAAGTGAAGCCTTTTCAGCAAGTTTTTAAAATAATATATTTTGTATCAGTCATCACTACTGTGAGGCAAAAATATAGGAATCAGAAATGGAACACAGTCTCGTAAGGCACATTTTTTTTTTTCTTAAAAAGCAGAACCACCAATCCCTGACAAAATCATTCTGCCTTGAACTTGTTTCCTTGAAGTAAAAACCCATCTGTGCCATCCAGGGGAGGGATTAGGATTAGGCACTGGAGACAAGCAGGAGGCAGAGGGAGCCAGTAACCTGTATCTTGGAGCAAAAACTGAGGAGCGTGGATGGTATGGGGCTCACTACTCGTGGATGCCACCTGTGTTAGTCAGTTTTCTATTACTGTAGCAAAATAACCTGAGAAAATAAACTGAAAGGAAGAAAGGTTTATTTGCTCTTGGTTTCAGAGGTTTCAGCCCATGGTCACTTCAGCCCCATTGTGTTGGGGCTGTGGTGAGGCCGAACAGCTTGGCAGGAAGCATGAGGTAGAGCAGGGCTGCTCCTCTGGCAGTGGCAGGAAGTGAGAGAGGGAGAGAGGAAGATTGGGAAGGAGACAGGAAGAGGGAGAGAAGGAAAGAGAGCAGGCCTGAAAGAGAGGAGAGAAGAGAGAGAGAGGGAAGGAGAGAAAAAAAAGAGAGAGAAAGGAAAAAGAGAGAGACCAAAATATACCCTTCAAGACATGCCACCAGTGACCTACTTCTTCCAACTAGGCCCTACCTCCTAAAGTTCCATCACTTCCCATAACAGCATCAGCCTTTAGCTTATGGCCTTTGGAGGCCATTTCAGGCTCATGAAGCAGCACCGACCTTGCCTCTCCTGCCTAGGAAAAGGTCATTCTTGCTTCCAGGTATGGCTCAATTTGACTAGTTCTGAGAACTTTTTGCAAATCTGGGGCCCTCTCTGTGTCACAGTCACTCCAACATCATTCCTATAGAGCCAGTTGTCCAATTCTATAACATTTCAGACCAACTGGTAGAGACATGGAATGTTTCAATTCAGCATGCTCTACAGATGCTACTCCAAATGCTCAGAGTTACAGTGTGCCCTAATATAAGTGCTCAGCTGCATGAATTAAGTTGCCTGAAGTTTGGCTACTCTAGCAGGCAACACATTAGAAATTGTCTTTATAAGGGTCATCTTAAATTTTGGGGTCATGAACTGTTCATAAAGAGTCATAAGTGAATGAGGAATATATGAGTTTTGCCAGGTCACCTGTGAACACCTTTAGAAAGGCAAGCAGGAGACAGACTTAGGTCTCAGCAGTATTTTCAATCCAAGGTTAGACATTCTACCCTCACCTATCTTTTGGGCTAAAGGAGTGCTCTGAGTTTTTCTCCCATAATACCATATACCCCAGGTGTAGCTATTAAGAACAATGATCACTTTATCCATTTTACAGCAACAATAGGGAAGATCACTTGAAATACTTGGTTCTGGGAAATCATGTTCAAAGTAGATAGGGCACAAAATGCAGCTGGGAGCTTGGTGCTAAGAACTAGATCCATAGCAGGTGGGCCTGCATTCAGGTCTTCTCTGAAGCACTTCTAGGCCAGAGAGCTTGGCCCGGTCCAAAGCAAAACTGGGAAGAGCAAGCCCCATATAGCAAAGGTAGAATAGAGTTCATACAGAGAATCTTAAAGCTACAGCGTATGGGTACAAGTAAGGACAGTCTAGTGGGCTTTTGTTTTCAGAGCTGCAGGTCCATATTTATCTCTGTCACATAGTAGATGGAAGAACATAAAAGCCAGAGGAAGGTCAAGAGTATAAACACAGGGCTCAAGGCAGTAGCTGTGATTAATGTTGCGACATCTAAATCAATGTATAGTCTTCCTCTTAGCAAGGTGGGCAGCACATCAGTCTCATAAATCAGTGTATGAATCCCCCTACCATATTTTATTTGCCTGGCAAAATTTACACTTTTAAGTAATTATGATGTTCTCTAAGGAATGCAAATATCTTAATGGATTTTTCAATGTTGTGTACTTAGTGAAATTATTAGCAGTAAATTATTAATAATAAATTAGGAATTGTTTCCTTGATCTTTAACTTGATTCATTAGGGAAACACGTTTACTCTTCTTATTTTTAAACCTTTTCTTATTTCTTTCAAATTTTTTTCTCTTGCCTCTTTTTTTTCTTTTTACTACGCTAATGAAATTCATGTTTACCTGTAGTGTGAATAATTTGGAAGCTGCTGTGCTATGTCTATTATAGACATGGGTGCCTTTTTGGTAGTAAGCTTGGGCTTAATCATCTACTAGAGAAATGTGAGTAGTAGAAAGGAATATTCTGTAAACTCACTGAAGAAGTAGAATTTTAACTATTGTGACTCTGTTCATCTCACCTGTTTTCTTTGTCAGAGAGAAGCATCTGGCCAAAATGTATTGGAATCAAAGTATCTTGAAGTAATGGCTGTAATTGAACATTTGCAGGGGAAGTTGATGTGAGTATGCGGCACGCAACGGGGAGAGGATGCAGACTGCTGGTCGGAGGCTTGGCTGAGCAGTCGGCACTTCGGGCTTACCTTTATCCTGCTTGCTTTAGCTGCACTAGTGGGCTGAATGTCCGCAGATGTTTTCTGGAGGCAGTGAACTACACTGTTGTGGGGGACAGCTTCCTTACCCACAGTGGAGATGTTAGCCACTGTGTATGGATGTCATGTGTATATATTCGAGGAAGGGTATGAGGGAGTGATCCAATTCAGTATGTTTCTAAGAGATGACTTAAGGAAAAGAATGGAATCATGGAATTGGGAGAAAATAGTGTGTAAAAGAATGTTATATAACCCAGTGTTGCTATATTGGGGGGTCCTCGGGGATCGGAGGTGAGGCTACAGCATTAGTCGAACAACATGCAGACATGGGAGACCAGGTTCTGTGAAGCAGATCTAAAGTTTATTAGGAAGTGTAGCAGGCTTTATAGGGAATAGGTACCAATCACTGGGCTCCACAAGTGCCACCGTAGCCGATCACCTTAAAGGTGAGGCCAACCGTCACCGAGAGACCACACCACGAGGGACTGGGCAGGCTTTGCACAGCGAGAACAAAGAAATGGGGAATTCACTGGGTGGGGCAACATGGGACAGGGTCAGGCCACCTTGGAGTATGCTCACAAGGCTTGAGTTGATGATCCTGTGGGTTCATCGTACTTTCACCAAGGCCACCAAGTAAATCCCCCAGCCAGGACTCAACCCAGAGTCAGAAAGACCATGCAGTTAAGATGGATTAGGACTCTGTGAAAATATGCTATACAGATGTAACATATAGTCTAAATTTAAATTTTTGTTACATTACTCTGTGTGTATGTGTGCATGCGTATACACGCACACACACACATGCATGCACATACATGCCATAGCACATGTGGAGGTCAGAAGACAACTTGCAGAAGTTGGATCTCTCCTTCTACCATGTGGGTCCAGGGAATGGAACTTGGGTCATCAGGCTTGGTATCTAGGACTTTTACCCTCTCGCTGGTCCTAACATGTACTCTAATAAGTAAGAAGTACATCTCAAACTGGTTTTATTGACTGTAAATTATGGTTTTAGAGGGCTTAGAGAAGAAGGGAAACTACTGGGTTTGGTTTGCTGGGTCATATCATTTATATGAAGACAAAATTAACTACTCAGTGGGTATTCTCTGGCTATTGATGGAGAATTTCAAGTATACCAAAGTCAGATCCCACTAAGAAATGAGAAATACATTGTATCTTTAAGTGACAGACTAATTTCAGCTTTCAGCATCTTTCAGCTTCTAGACCCTCAATTCTTACTTCACCATTGATGTGCCTGTTTTCCTAGTTTGCACCGTTCAGACAGGTCCACTGTGTCCCATGCAGCTTTTAAATGAAGTTTATATGCAGTTTCTATATGAAGGGAACTTCTAATTTTTTCTGAATAAATATTTTTATGATTCTTTGAGAACTTCATACAATGTATTTTGATCATATTTATCTTGCCCCACCCCTCCCAGATCCACACCCTCCCTTCCTTACTCACACAACTTTGTATTCTCACTTTTTTAAACCCATGGAGTCCAATTTGTGCTGTCTATATGCTCTTGGTTGTTCAGCCATCTAGTGGCATGTGG